AGCGAGAGGCAGCGCACGCCTCGCCCCACGCCGGGACCCCTCCGCCCCTCACCCCGCTTTCACCTCCTCCTCCTCCGTCCCTTCCCTCCGCTCCCCAGCCCGAGACCCCAGGCCGGAGCACAGGGGAGGGGAGGGAAGGAAGCGGGATGCTCGAGCTGCGGAGGGTGGCCGCGGCTAATGTGGGGACGCGCCTCCTGCGCAGCGCTCCTCACCGGGACCCCGGCTCGCCGCGCTCGCCCACGGCTCTGGCTAGCTGGCAAGCAGGCGACCGCCCGCTCTCTCGCGCTCCTTCTCGCGCGCGCCGGCCACGCCTCCTTGGACGCCACGGCCAACCCGCGGTCAGCTCCGGTCCGTCTCCTTCCGCATCACCCAATCAGCATGCTCTCTTCTCGGTCGACCCGTTAGCCTGCCGGCCCACTCCTCGAGATCCACCGCCCCTTATCTCCCTCCTCCAATCCCCTACGTCCCACCCGCCCCCTCAGTCCGGGCCCCGCCCCTAAGCTCTGGCCCCCGGCGGCCCCGGTCCGGCCTAGGCACATGTTATTGTTGGGACCGCAGCCCACACTGATCCCGCTGGGGCAACCGCTTGCTCTGGTCAGTGACTTCCGGCACTTCCCCCATCCGGCTCTCCCTGCTCCTCAGGCCCAGCTTGCTCATTGCTCCTCCCCCGCCGCACATCAGGCCACTGGAAGGGGTGGGAAACCTGGATCCTGGATGCTTTCAGTTGGTAGCTAAGTCTTAAGGGGCTTGATTTTTTTTTTTTTTTTAAATAGCAGAGCGTGTTTTTTATTAAGACTACAGCCAGTTGTCGAAGTAACTTAGAGTTACAATAACAGATGCAGTGTTCAATGCTTAAAATTTGTATTGTTTCCTATGTCCTTTACTATGGTGGATGGGGGAGACAAAAAAGGTGTAAAACAAGATCCATGCCCCCAAACTAATTTAAACCTGACGTCCTAACATTCACTCAGCCATTCTACGAAGAGTTGTTGAGCACCTGCCATCTATCTGCAAGCACTGTTCTGAGTCTCAGGAGTTTTATCCATAATACAGAAATCTTGTAGGATGTAATGTGGGTCTGAGATGGAAATACATCATGCAAGTCAGAATGAAGTAAGTGCTAATTAGAGTCACAAGCAATTTGATGGCGACTGTAAGCGGATGCAGTGGCAAAAAGAACCTGTCTTTGGGAAAGAGGAATCTACAGGACGAGGCAGTGATTGATTTTAGAGAAGAGAGAGGTAACATCGGGATATTTTTAACAGGGATCCTTAAGAGGGGGTTGTTGTCATTAACAAAGACAAAAAACTGGGAAGGCGGAACAAGCTGTGTGGGCAAGTAATTCTGGACGTACTGAATTTGAAATGCCATCTCAGCTAATAAATGAAAGCTATGTAGCAGGAGGTGGACAATTTGGTCTGAAGCTCAGGTTGAGGAATGCTTTCAAATTATGGGTCTTGGGCATAATAAATAGATGTGATATTCAAAACCATGGAAGAGATTGATATTCTCAAACAAATATCTGAAAGTTGGAAAGAACTTTGGAGGTCATCTTTTTCAACTCCCCTGCATACTTCTTATGCAATAAATCCTTCTGCCAAATTTATTCAGTAAGAATTTATTGGATGTCAAAGAAACCCTTCTATATTCTAGGCTTAATAAAGGCATTGGGCATACAAAGTTCAATCAGAGGAGTTTACATTCTGGTGGAGGAGGGAAACATATGAACAAATCCATTGTTATCAGTGTGGTATTGGAAATATGGACTGGTGCCACAATACCACAGTGAAGGGAGTTCAAGATACCTATCACAGTGAGTGTGAAACTGTAGCTGAGTCCTGAATAAGAAGACAAAGTGAGGAAGGTGATCTCAGGCCAGAGGCAAAATAGGCTGTATCAGGCACAGTAGCGAGTAGTATTGTTGGAGCTGAATGGAGTTGACTGCTGATGACTCAATGGGAGGAACTGGAGACTATTCTGGTAAAGTCAGGGGCAAGATCTAAGTCAGGATTTTATTTTGTAATATTGGGAAATAACTAAAGGGTTCTCAGAAAGAGTGACACTAGATTTTTATTGTAGAAAACTAAATTAGACAGGAGCCAAGAAACGGATTGAAGTGAGAGCAAGACTGGAAGCCAGGGAGAGCCAGTCTGGAGTTAAAGGGAGTGCCGGTGAGTCTGAATTATATTACCAGTTAGCTTGGAAAGGGGGCGACTGACAGGAGGAATATTGTGAACTTAGTGACCAAATAGAAGTGGGGAGTAAGGAGGAGTAGAGCAAGATCCTCAGGTTTCTAGGTAGAAGGTGGTGCCTTTTACACAATAAAAGTAAAAGATAAGATCATAAATTCTGTATTGAATATATCAAATGTGATGTGCTAATGTGCTCAGTTGTGAACTAAGACTTCTGATAATAGTTTCTGAGACAACCCATCTCATTTGTTGGATCACTTCTTTCATAGGGCCATTGGGTAAGGTCACAGAGGTGGTGATAGAGCAGTTTTATGAATCTAGAGGTGACAGAGCAAGGTATTATGACTCGAGGCTGGCATTCTATTGACTACCTAGAACTGCACCAGAGGCAGAGAATTCACCCGTGGACTAGCATAGTTATGGAAGCCTTTCTGGAAGAGGCAAATCTTGGGCTACAGCCACCACTACTTATTAATACAACATGAAAAGATCTAGACTACATGCCTCTAAGGCAAATGCAAGGAGCACTTGTATTTTCTCATCCCTGTTTTGTTTACTGTCTAGTATTTTAAAAGGTTATTAAAAGTGGAGAATAGAGAGGTGGAGAGCTTCTGAATGAAGTCTGTGGCAGGGAAAGGAATAGGGAGGTAGGAGCAAATTGGAGTTATATTTAAAGCAGGGAAATCAAAAAGGTCTTGGTAACTGATGCCATTTGACTATTTCTGTATTATTTTATGCTTCAGCTTCTTGAGTTTTGCTTTGGAAATACAGGGTCTAGAACTCTGGCTAGAGTGCCTCTGTGGAGCCCCTTATTGCTGTAAGTACGTAAGGAATTACAGGAGAAGCACCGATGTGGGAGAGGGTTGATGCTGTCGCTGCTCCTATCCTCTCTCTACTTCTGGTCATTGCCTCTCTACTAAGTTACAAAAATGATGATAGAAGGCTACTCTGAGATAATCAAAATTTCCTCACACCAAAGGAATATAGCAGGCATTATATTCTAGGACAGTGCCTGGGCAGAGTGGAATTCTAGTTTACATTACTTCTCTTACTCTCTGCATGCTGCTCTAGCCAACTTTGTCAACTTCCTTGCCTTAGGAACTTGGTTTATTTTGGGGTTGACATCTGCTGAGGCAGTGGGAGCAGTACTTGTCCAGGACCATTTTATCCACATGACCCAGATGCATAAGTCTAGGGCAGAACTGGGGATTCTAATCAGAACTCAAAGTGGATAGGTTTCAAGGAGGCCATCACCATAGTAGACAGAAGCTTCCAGAAACTAAAGTGCCTCCATAAGGCAAGCCCAGTGCCCAGCTCCTTACAGAGTCTCAAAAAGATGAAGCTTTAGATATATTCCCTTGGGAACTTGACCAACGGAGAAAACCCAACTGAACATTGTCTTCACTGCACATGAGTTTATCGACTCGGAGTAGGATATGTAGCAGTCACAGTCAACTCCATTCATTGACTAGTAAATGAATTAATGCTTTGCATAAAGGTGGTCCTTTATGCAAAAGGACTTTTTTGTCTCCCCCATCCCCCATAGTAGAGCTTTAGGAAAGGACCACATAGGATAGTTAAATATGAAATACAAGGAATTAAAATGTGTATCATTTCAATGTATTTATAGATGTTTATGTTAAGACATTTAAAAATAAAAATAAATCCTCAACCTAAATTATTAATTTACTAGATCTTCTTTCCCTTTTCATTTTGTCTCTCTCTCTTCCTTTTTCTCTCATTGTTTCTTTTTTTCTTTCTTTTTTTCCTGTTAATTAATAGAGTGGAAGAATAAAGAAAATGGAACTGATCTATAGAAGAAAGGGGAAATATGAAAAGAATGGTTTACACTCCACTATGTCTGCTTTCAATGAATCCCAGCTCATCCAACTGTTAAGGAAATGAGAATGGAGAAAAAGAACCCGGGGCTGGTGCCTTTGCTTCAGTTCATGCAGAAACATCTGGGTTTTAATGGTATAATATGGGAAGAATCATTTGGCACCGTCATTGCTATTAAATGTCTGTTAAGCATTAATAAATCAGAAGAGGCTCATTTAAAATGGCATTGTACTGGAAACTTTAGGATTATGGTACATAATGAATCACTGGTGGGCTTTATCAGTGAGTGTGTATTTTGGGCAGGGTAACAGAAAGAGGGGATGGACACGAATTTACTTTTGTGATCTTCCAGTGGGGTAGGAGAGAAAGAAAACTGTGGCAGTTCTGGAGAAATATTTCAAACTTCAAAGAACAGAGCCCTAAGATCTGGTTCCTGTTCTCACAGGAGCATTTTCTTTGTCCTATTGACTGTTTGGAGAAATATTTACAGCCAAGTTTGTTTCTAAATGTCTGCATTCTGCTGAAGAGACTTTCTTCCTTTCTGTGAACAGAAGTGGTTTGGATATATTTTTCTTTTCATCTTGTAAGTTTCTTTAAGTTAGTCATTTTAGTTAAATCTAATTCTCAGGTTTATTACTCATATTTTCTTAACATTTATAAACATTTTTCAGATATTTGTTATAGTAAATTTAAGGCAGGAGTGCTAGAACCTAATTTATTATAGAAGATATGTAATTTCTACTAGTGGATAATAATGTTAAATTTTTTGTTCTTGTAAGATTAACACTGGCTTATGTCAGCAACATAACTAACTTCAATCATTTTTCATTTGAATCTTTATCTACTGTAACCATCTCTCCCTTTTTCTTTCTCCCTCTCCATCCTCCACCCCAGTCTCTCACACCCTTGTTTTTTCTAGGAACATTAGAAATTTAACCAATTCATTCTCTGCTGTCATAACAAGAAGGCTTCAGGCTAGTATTTTATCTCTGATAGAGGCTTCAAAGGATTTTAGTAAAAGCATGTGAAAATTGCCTTCCATAACAACAACATCATGCCTAGAAATTAGAGAATTAATTATACATGAATGCTTACCGTAGCACTAAAATATGAATAGTGAAAATACCAGAGTATCTGAGATAATATGGTTTTGGTGTGCAGTAGCTGCATGCCTCCTCTGCTATACACCTATATCCTTTCCTGTGGGACCTATGCTGACAACACAGTCGAGAATTAATGTACAGAGCTGAAATGCTGTTTGACTTCTGAGAAATTGAGTTCTTTCATGAGATCATGGAAACAGCCCTGGATGAGACTCATGTATCCAACTTCTGCTCAAAAGTGCTGTGTAACCTCCAGCAAGCCTCCCAACCTCTCTAGGCCTCACTTTCCTTGTCCATAACAGAAGATGGGTGGATCTCATTGTATGTTTAAAGTTTGATAATTCTTCCAAATCTTCATTGTCTGCTGTAATTCTCTCATCTCACAGTCAAATTCTAAGTCCTTACTTCCTAAATTGCTACCTACTGTAGGAGGGAGAGGAAACAAAAGCTGGACTACAAAATTGGTTTCTGGGAAATTATTGCCTCTGCCAAACAGGAACGCACCTTAGAGGCTATGTTTGGTTTGGAAAGCACACTGGACCTTGGAGCGGGGAGGATAACCTGATGAGGAATAAGATGGGGGAAGGCACGGGAGATAAAGCTAGTCAGCAATGTGGCCAGAAGTTGGACACACTGAGAGGTAAGAAATAATGAGAATTTCCCAGTGGTTCGAATGCAAAGATGCTTTTAAAACTAGAGATATCTAAAAAATAATTTCTGTTATTTACTGTATATGGTATATTGTAACCTTCCCTTTGTCTTTCTCCCAACCTCTCCATTAAGTTTACTACAGTCACAGCCTGGACTTGAAATCTTGGGCAAAGGGAGGGGAGACGGATGGTGTCTAGCTTATTGATTTTACGTGGAAAAGGGCAGCATCCTCAGGAGGTGAAATGAAAGTTAGATCAAGGATTCAGAGAATGCCAGAGACCACTAAAGAACAAGAGGTTTTGAGAAACTTAAACCTCCATGCCAGTCCCCATCCTCTTGACAAGAAAGTAGGTTTCCATCCCTAGGTAAGTCAGGATATTTGAACAGGTGACCATAGTAAGCAAGAGGATTTGGAGTCATCCAGGCAGCTGACATCTATTACACTAGGATACGCAAATAATAATGTAATAATTCTACTTTTTATTTTCTAAGAACCAAGAGAATAGAAACAGAAATTGGGATTTTTAAAATACATGTATCACTTCTTTAAGTGTTCCTTTTGAATTTTTTAATTAAATTGTAATTTATATCCTTTAAGTTTATTAAGACAATAAAAGGAACTAATATTTTAAATAATAGCAAGCCTTTGGAAATCCAGTGTTTTCAAGGAATACCTAAGGTTTTTAAAATGAAGTGTATCATCTTCATATCACATTCACAGAGTAGCTAATGTTAGCCTGCCTCACCCACAATATAAATGAAGTGCAGAATATATTATATATTTTAATTTAAATAGTTCTTTTTATTTTTGGCATTCTATTAACTATGATTGTGAGACGATAGAGTGAGGACTAAAAGGAAATAATATATTATTCAGATTAACCTGACTTTCCATGAGCTTCTTCTGCATTAATAATCAGGTTTTAATACCAATGTAAGTATTACATTTGACTGACATACACTATCATTTTGTTCCTAGTTAACATGCTGCACAAAAGTGAAGATGTGAGAGATTTTTTTGAAGGATTGATTGCAGACCAAGATAACTGCTAGGAAAGAAACAAAGGAGAATATAATTTCCCTGACCTAGCTATTTTTTTTTATCTTGAAGGACTGTACATTCCCAATGCTGATAGAACTCTGAATTCCATGAATAAATAAATAAAACTATTTACCACATATCTAGTGATCTCTCTAAATCAATACATAGTTCACATTTGTAGATCAGAAGATACGTAGATTTATTTTTGGTGAATATAATCAGTATATTTGATGCACATTGTTTATACTACTGACTTGGCTAAAATAGAGGATAAGAGCATGGCCTTGGTAAAATTAATAAATTATTGAGTCATAAAAAGTCATGTAGTAACAAAAATTTATGGATTTCCTATTTATTTATGGCTTATTTAGAAGGCACCCAGATATTAACAGCCCCATCTAATGACAAAATCTAACTATTTGTTTAGCTATTTGATTTGAAATAGTAAGTGTTGTTTTTCCAAAAATCAATTACTAGATATAAGGTAATTTAAGATTCACTTTAGTCTTTTTGTCATTTGCTATTATTCTCGTATTGATAAACAACTAATATTAAGAAAGTACTTCATTATTACAACATAAATATATTTACCTATAAATATATTCACTCTAGATACTGTTGGTCACATATGCATGCAATTAAATTACCTACAAAATAATATCCTCACCATATAGCCACGCTGAATCAGCCCCCGGCTTTTCTTTTATTAATAACTACAACACTGTGCATAATTAAGTTGACATTCTCTCCAAGTGAACAAACTCATACAGCCATTCATGCATGCTTATGGCAGCTATCCATTTAGAGAAATTATAATTATACATGACCCAGAATGAAATTTTTTACACCATTTGTGCCCTAATGGAAAACAAAATGAAACAAGCAAGCCATGTTTAAAGATATACTAAAATATTACACTCAAATCCCATCTGTGATCTTATCTTCTTTTTTCAGTTATTTTCCAACTTTTATGTCTATATATTCTGTGTAAAGAGAATTTGAGTTCTTTACCTATCAAGATTTTTTTTCCCTGGTCCTGGAGTCACTTTTAAATTGTGAGTCTCATTCAGTTCTCTCATATGAAATAATCCCCACTTTTATTTTCCCAACCCGAATGAATACAAGAGGTAGCTGATATTCATGAAAGGTAGAGTGAGCAGCCTCTAAAAATCTTCCTTTAAATATACTCTTCATGGACTTTAGGTAGTTAATAAACAATAAGAAAGACTGTATTTAGGAGAATACAGTATGAACTGCTACTGAAGATATCTTGAGAATATAAAATGTCTTTGAAAACAAAAAGCAAACAAGCTCAGAATTCTACATCCTGCACTATGTTAATTTTTCCATCAGGTTTCTAAATTGATTTAAAAATAAGCTGCATAAAAATGGTGACACTTAAATTTATGGACTCTGGAGTAAAATGAATCACCTGATGGGGCTTTTACAAGTTCTGGGAATCCCTAATGTAAATCTGTGGCCTCCCTGAATAGTGGTGGGAAAAATGTTGAGAATGATCCAGTTAGAAAATCTATTTATTCATTCCTTCATTTATTTAATTTATTTTCAATTTTTTAATTGATACATTGTAATTGTACATATTTGTGTTGTATAATTTGATGTTTTGATACATGTATATGTTGTATAATGATCAAATCAGGGTACTTAGTGTATCCATCAACTCATGCATTTATCATTTCTTTGTGGTGAGAATATTCACAACCTCTCTTCTAGCTATTTTGTAATATACAATACCTTACCGTTAATCATAATTACCCTACTGTACAATAGAACACCAGAAGTTATTTTTCCTATCTAATTGTAACTTTGTACCTATAGACCAATCTCTATCCCATCCCCTCCCTTTTGTGGTGAGAACATTCACAACCTCTCTTCTAGCTATTTTGTAATATACAATACCTTACCGTTAATCATAATTACCCTACTGTACAATAGAACACCAGAACTTATTTTTCCTATCTAATTGTAACTTTGTACCTATAGACCAATCTCTATCCCATCCCCTCCCCAGTCTCTGGTAACCACTGTTCTACTCTTTATTTCTATGATACCAGCTTTTTGAAAGACTCTCCATATAAGTGAGATCATGTGGTATTCGTCTCTCTGTGTTTGGCTTACTTCGTTTAACATAATGTCCATGTTGTTGCAGATGTGACATTCAGGCTGTGTGAGTTCATTAGGGTCTTTGGCTTTTTCAGATTTACATTTAAACATTCTCTGTGTCTGTATCTGTTTCTGTTAAGCTTGTGTTCATCCTAGGCTGTATATCTTCCATATTCCTTCTCCTTTGCTGTAAAAGTCTAAATGAAACACTTTGATCCATTAATGGAATGTAGTTGACCCAGTGCCCTCTCTGTCACAGTGTTGATTCACAGCTGCAAGGAGGAATGGGTAGCATGCCAGGCTGCAGATAATGTCNCTTTGTGGTGAGAATATTCACAACCTCTCTTCTAGCTATTTTGTAATATACAATACCTTACCGTTAATCATAATTACCCTACTGTACAATAGAACACCAGAAGTTATTTTTCCTATCTAATTGTAACTTTGTACCTATAGACCAATCTCTATCCCATCCCCTCCCCAGTCTCTGGTAACCACTGTTCTACTCTTTATTTCTATGATACCAGCTTTTTGAAAGACTCTCCATATAAGTGAGATCATGTGGTATTCGTCTCTCTGTGTTTGGCTTACTTCGTTTAACATAATGTCCATGTTGTTGCAGATGTGACATTCAGGCTGTGTGAGTTCATTAGGGTCTTTGGCTTTTTCAGATTTACATTTAAACATTCTCTGTGTCTGTATCTGTTTCTGTTAAGCTTGTGTTCATCCTAGGCTGTATATCTTCCATATTCCTTCTCCTTTGCTGTAAAAGTCTAAATGAAACACTTTGATCCATTAATGGAATGTAGTTGACCCAGTGCCCTCTCTGTCACAGTGTTGATTCACAGCTGCAAGGAGGAATGGGTAGCATGCCAGGCTGCAGATAATGTCTAAACCCCAGCAACAGGTCAAACATGGTGCTTGCTTAATAGGCCCCTCTGTCTTGAGCAAGCAGATTCCTTGTCACAGGGGGTACAGTTTACCTATTGTAGGAATTAGTTGTACACAGTTTTCTGTCACCAGGATTCTTCAGAAGGTTC